GTCCGCAGTTCAATTACACATTACATTACATTGTTGCCGTCACGTCTTGACCGTCTTATATATATACAAGACTACCGCATATCTTGTTGGCTCTCGAGCATTCAGGAAGGGACAGGATCCTTCTAGAAGTTCATGACGTGTTACTAGCGTCACGTGACTTCCGCTTTCGTAACAGTACTATGCAATCCACTGCACTGTAAATTTACAGTAGTTTTTATTGGAACCTCAGTTTTCAGTACTTTTTATTGTACAATTGCAGTACGTTTTTGTAAAATGTTCTCACCTCTTCCTGGTATATGTTTTCTCTAATTTTTTTAACCAGTTTAAAATATTTCATAAACAATTTATGGTTTTTTTTATGCACTGCTCTAATGTGTTTATTATGAACAATGTAATTAAATTGTTCAAGCAAATTTCATATTATCATGTATAACGTATAGACTGGTAGAGCGTGATCTGTTGATCGGTAATTTGTATGATATTACATCACGATAAGACTAATAATATTATTCATAGCTTTCTTTACTAGCCCAATATGGGTTTCCAGTAAAAAATAAAAATAGTATGCGTTAGCGTTGCAACATCTCACTTTGCGTGGACACGCTGCTACCGTGAGGCCTTTTGCTCAGTATCAAAGCTCGTCTTATCGGCTAAGAGACCATTCAGAACCAGTTCGAGTTCCTCTTTCATTTGACACATTTGGTCGTGGTGGAAGTTTTATCCCACATGGAATTATAACTACCTTTATTAGCATTCATAATAGGGACCACATCTTACGATCTTTGGGGATATTACATAGTGGTATAAGTGACACTGACTTTAATAATAAAATTGTTTGCCCCTAGTATGCATATTTGGCAGACACGTTTCTTGAAGTAGAGAGAAGAATAACACAAATGAGCGGTCTACACTTCCACCAAGTTTAAATTATAACATCTATGAGTTGCTCTTGGGAAATGAGTCGCACCCCATCAGGTGAATTCAGAAACTAAAGATGCCTTGATAATACCTTTCCAGAGATGTGATCAAAGTTAATGGTTTCAGGCAGCCCTTGCTGGTCCCGGTAATCATATTCTATACTGAAATGAAACGCTACAATTATAAAGCTGTGAAACCACTTCTGCCATATGTTCATTCACGAGCATTTCAGATCACAAGAAAAGTTGTCAGATGACTGCTTTGTATAAAAAAATTGAATTAAGAGTAGTTACTGACTATATTTTATAGCAGTTCTTTTCCTATAATATTATAACATTACAATTATCCTTTAACTGCTTTGTGCAGTCTATTTGGGCCAACGTGAAATCGCACTAAATTATCTTTAGGGAATTCAGCCGTTACCTTATCATCATCTTCAAACAGTGTTAGAGAAAGGTTATACGAACATTGCTTACTATGATGTGTTGAGGAATTCCTGGTTATGCATCATTCAACAGAGATTAAATGTAACAGAACCGTAGCTTACATTTCTAGTAATTATCACTAAGGAAATCTGCAAAGCTGTGTTTACAATAAAAGCAGGCTGGTAAAACAGTTTGAAAATTCAGTTCTTAAATACCATTTTTTATCCATTAAAGCACTGACAAATATTATTAAAATACTGTGGGTTAAGTACGTTATATTAAAAAAATTAATATGCCATCCAACAAGTCAAATGATAAACACAGCAGTATAGTTACATGTATCAGAACTACATTTTGACATTGTTTGACCTTCGTAAGATCGCTTTTGGGAAGTATATGTAACAGCCTTTCTGATGCAAAATATTTAGGATTTACAAGACGGGGTATCTTGTACACAATTGCACCAGGAAACAAAACAATATGGATGAACTTGGGGTACCATACAAAAAAAGAACCTGCAACAAGTGGTGCTTCAGCCATGGTAAGTGAAGTTCGATGTCTCGTAGTAAGTGAGAATCCACGAACACAAAGGTCAGAGGAAAAGAGCGTCCACATGCTCCAGGCAACAATACTCAATGTACTAAGAAGGATCTCTCTCTTGAAAATCGACACAAGTCATGTGTACAGCTGTTGATTCCATGGCATATCTCTTCAATTGTCGCATACCTCAAGTAGCGGGAAAATGTATTTGTGCTATTTCTGACGAATTCAAGTACCATGGATTTATATGCAATCGTATTGTTGAAATGAGCACTGGGAAACCGTCGTCCAGTTACACTAGATGTAGTATGGAAAACTACAGGAAAGAGGGGTGTGCTTTGAGCATGACAGTCATACGACTAAGCCTTTTGCAATAGAAACTACGCTGGAGGGATATTGTAATGATGCATGGTCGTCAATTAGAGCCTGAATGGATGTGGCGTCATGAACTACAACGACGTGGTGAGGTTCCAAAATCGTTTTAATAGAAAGTACTCAACTTCTGTTTATTTAGGATAGCCAGTTCTAATGATGCAAAGAAATATGCAGTTAAACAGAGAAATCGCCAGCGATTAAGCGAATAGAAAGCTATATATATATATTATGATACTTGGTGCGCATTTTTGTGGGATCGTGGAGAGGGAGAGAGTGAAAAACAAGGCGTTTCCTGACTAAGGTTCAAAGGCTGTATAAACTAGCTGTGCCTTAAATAAAACAGATGGATCTGAAATAATCCAAGACGATTGGGAAAACGAAAGGCTCAAAGACAAAATAAAACTGTAGACATATACATATGTGAACAGCTGCTCCCAGGTCATGTTGGTCTTTATAAAGCAAGGTGAGAACTCTTACTAGTAATACCAGAAAGTCCCAAATGAACATGTGAGCGGCAGTCACAAGTAAATAAACATAGTTTGCAATAACTCTATAGTCCCACGTGACTATCGGATCGGCAAGTACACAAAGTGCACTTGATGGCCACCAGGGTCTAACAATGCAATGAAAAAAGATAGTCTAGATTTCCAAAACTAATGAAGCAACAAACTCAAGTGTCATGTTTGTAAAAGAACAACAATGAGCTTCATGGTTTAAACAAGAACCACACAAAATCTCGATTTTTGTATTTTACCTAAATCTCTAGCTATGTATAATAATTTATGATACTAAGAATCGGAAACATTCAGTCCCAATTAATGGAAACTGAAGACTTGTTTTTTTTGCGTAAATCATATCAAAAACTTGTCATTTACACACACAAATAACGTTAAAGTTTGTTTGTTTGTAGTTAAGCACAAAGCTACACAATGGGCTATCTGTGCTCTGCTCACAACGGGTATCGAAAACCGGTTTCTAGCGCTGCAAGTCCGCAGACATGCCGCTGTGCCGCTTGAGGGCATAACATTAAAAATCAAGAAGTAGGAAGCTTTGAATGGCGGGTGTTTGTGTGTGTTATCTTTAAGACCCGAGAATAAATCACACTAATATTTGTATCAATATCTGAGTTATTGATTTAGAGAGCATCATCATGCACCTAAATATAACAGAATATTTAAGTCTAATTTACGGACTTTTTTAGTCCTCTATAAACAGCTTTAGTTACGGAAGTATTTTATCAAATACCTAAAGAATGATTTAAATGACATTCAAATCCTTAGTGGGTGTTGGTTTATTTTCCAAATAGTAGTCATGATATGTGTAACTGTTTTAATTAGTACTTTCTGATTTTCATTTAATAGTTATCTTATTTACTTAGCTTTATGATTATTTCTTAGCTTGGAATATTTTATGAAAACTAAAAAACACCATCCAAGTTCTACTTTTTTGGAATTATTATTTTTAAAATTAAGTATAACTGAGTATTTAAAAAGGATTTGATAAAACAAGCTTCTCCATTTACAATATTTGTGTAGTACTTCCCACATTATCCGAAGAGTGATTTCTATATCCTGCTGAGCAGAGAAAACCGTTCCTCAGATAAAAGAGTCAACTGATCAGACAGTTGAAACCACAACTAAACAAAACTTCATCTTTCCCACATTATACAGAAAACAACACATGATTATATTAATTATATTCACGCATGGTTAAAATTTCACAAACTTATCTTAACCCTAAAACTAGTGACTTGTTTTTATACCGTTCTCTATTAATGGAGTCCATGCATTACATCGTAGACCCACAAGCAATTTGGTGCATAAGTAATTCAAAGAGCGTGTTTCAAAATCAGGTGGAGTCCATACGGACCATATCATCTCAGTAGTTTTATGGTTAATTAGGGTTGAAGCTGATCCATACTGTATCTACAATATCATTCTGATTAATTCTCGTTGCTTTTAGGAAGGTAATCTATCTCACTGACCATACACATTATAGTCTACTCACTTCCATTTTACAGTGAATCAGAAATTCGTAACTGTTTCTTGTAGTCACATTGTAACAATTGTGAGATGTTTTTATATTAAGTTAGGTATTGCATTTTAGCGAAATATATGACAGACATCCGTGTTAGAGCAACTCTTCAGGAATTCCGTGGTTTTTAAGTTGTCATATGTGTTCTACTGCAATATCAGAAGCATGTACATAGCACATTATATTTTGTTCAGCTTACACATTTAGGATATAAATCTTGTCTGTACCACACATCTCTCAAATAAGAAAACTTTCTTACTTGAACGTTACACAGCCTGATCCCCTTGGCGGTGCCCGCCACATCACCTGTACCTCAGACTTTGGGATACTGGAAGTCTGGACAATAGCATATGGACAGTCCTCTGAGAAGGTTGAAAGAGCATCTCCAAAGAGCTATAGGAATAAATACAACAAAAATTATCACTTTTAAAACAAAAAATATTCTAACGAAAGTAAAATTATCAATGGTAATTGTTCTTTACACTGAAGAGATTCGTTGTTCTACTGTTGTATTGTTAAGATAGTAAATGTTTGATATAAGCAATAGTTTGCATGTAATACTGATAGAATCCAGGCTTGTAGCAAGAGAAAACTATACCGTTTGAAAGTCTTATGATCCAATGTACCTTTACCGTTTGATAGTCTCGTGATAAGATGTAACTTTACCGTTTGATAGTCTCGTGATAAGATGTACCTTTACCGTTTGATAGTCTCGTGATAAGATGTAACTTTACCGATTGATGAAGCAAAAGAGTAAGACATAACTACCGTTTTATAATCTTGTAATTCTACATATCTATGTTTAGAAATGTCTGTACTAGTCTTTATAGTTTGATAAAATCTTGTAATTATATTCCTATTGTTTGGTAAAGTATAGTAGTACTAAGTACTTACCGTTTCGTAAATGGTTGTAATTTTTAGTAATTCCACAAAATTACCTTTTTTCATAAAGTTATACAGTACGGCATAAACACCACTTATTTCAGCTTTGTATGACTGCATGAATAACAGGAATTGTGTATCTTTGTACATTTTAATCTTTCCAAAGCTCTGATGCCTGAAAGTTCCGATAAGAGGCGTATCTATCACAACCTACTTGCTAATTGCTTCGAAGGAGTTCTTCGTATGATTTTAGATTTAACATCATGTTTATCAAGCAGTTTCGTTTGGTCTTATTGTAACACATTATCGAACAACACAATTATATCTTACAACAATACTTTAACAAACAGTATAGTTACATTTCATCACAAGACCCTATCAAACGGTATAGTTTTATCACATAAATATCGAACAATATAGCTATTTTATATACAAAAGTTCAATCTCACAATGTGCCGACATAGGTTACATTTATACACACACCAGCTGGAGTACCTGTCCCCTGAAGTTTTGTGAATTCATGATTAATGAAAGTTTATCTTAGGAAATGAAATTTGCTTCCATTGTATGTAATTGTAAAAAACGCCCATAAAAACTGGAAAACACAAAAATGTGAAAAAGCAAATTTGCATGTATCTCCCCATGGATCCAATGAACCTCCATACCAAATTTGGTGAAGATTCTTCAACAGGGAGCGAAGTAGTGGTAAAAACGCAAAAACGCCCATGAAAAACCGCAAAAAGCAAAATGCAAAACTGAAAATTTCCACCTACCCCCCCCCCTGGACCTAATGAGCCTCCATACCAATTTGGGTGAAGATCCATGCACACCCTGAAAGTAGTTACATGGACAGACAACAGACAGTACTATTATATTTATATAGATATATTTGTTTTACTTAGATATTTTAGCTGCTAGAAATAAAACACTAATAAGTTAGCGCTAAACAGGCTTCTTCAGGAGAAGGAGCGCTTGACAGAATCTGTCTTTGTGTAAATGATCTAATTTGACACGATCCACGGCTATTGTTGAAAGCAAAATAGTCATATGTACAAAGCTAGTATTTACATTTTTCCAAGAGGTATTTCTTAGGTAAATGACATGTGTATATAATTAATTAACGCTTGTTGATGAATTTTCGCGCAAAGCTGCTCTAGGGCTGTCTACACGAATTAATTAAGAACAATTTAATTTTTTTCTTAGGTGTACTAAAAGACTTATAAACATATGGTGCTTCTAAAATCAGAAATATAAAATTGAAAAATTAGAAAACTTTTTACATGTGCTAATAGATTTACAAAATCGTCATTTTTGAAAACAGCAATTGAAAACAAAACAGTTTCAAAAATGAAAATATAAATGCAACATACGAAACATCCAAATAGCTTTCTATTACTATACGAATAACGATATTCCTAGTGAACTTGAAAATAAACTTTTGTTCTTTATACACTTGAGCTGCTTTACATGAAATAGTTGGGCACCAAAGATTACCAACCTGAATGTCATATAATGCTTGGAGACAGCTTGAATGGGTAATGAAGAAAAACTTTAGTATAAGTTTAACATAACAGCAAATGTACAACGTTTCGATGATTAATATGTAAAGTATATTTAAATTGAAATTATTTAATATTCATGTGTTAATATTTAATTAAGTTAGTAAATAAAGGTTAATTGAGTAGACGACTAATATGCAGGTAACAATCAACTTTAATATCAGATTATTTTTCATTAATTAATATGCAAGTCCTTGATATCAGCGGATGTTTTTCCAAGAAATCGGACTGATATTAGGTGGCATCATATGATTACCTCATCAACGCCAGAGAACGAGTTGCTAAGGGCATGTTGCTAGGTAAAGAGTGAAATCATTGTTAACATCGATATTTTAAATTGAAATAACTTGAAATCTGTATGCAGTCCTATAGAAGCAGTCCGCTTATAGAAATACCTTTCACATTTGTAAGACGTACATTGTTACTATTTGTTTCAGTCTCGTCAAGTCTGATTTAACTAACATTTATAGTAACAATATCTGTTTGAAACATATCAGGGTATTATATAAGGGAAAGAATAACCTATGCGATATGTTTGAATCCTTTACTCATCATAGAGCAAAATTATAATCTATTAAAATCATCATTTGTCACTATTTTCAAACAGAAGAATACTTAGATTAATTACCTACACGTTTAGCGGGATTGACTATCACATTATAAAGCCCCCCCCCCCACGACTGAAAGGGCGAGCATGTTTGGTGGAACGGGGATTCGAACCCGCGACCATCAGATTGAGAGTCAAGCACCCTAACCACCTGGCCATGCTGGGCCAATTAAGTATGTCTTATAAAGCTAAACATGAACAATTAAATTATTGTATGTTAGTTAGAGATTTAAATAAACATCCTTTTCAGCGAAAATATGTGTTACACAATGTATTAATTATAGAAATGAAAAGTAAGGAATTAGCAATGTGTCTTACATACAAAACGCCAGAAAATGCAAAAGTGTGGCATGAAAATTAGATATAAAAGTGAAAACTATAATCATATACTACTCTATGTTAAATGTGTTAATAACATTACCTGTCTATAGAAACACCATATTTGTATACAATTAAATATTTTGTTGATTTGTATCACTAACGTTTAGTTGTAAAACATTATCTAAATAGTTATGTTTAATAACTTTATTTGATTTGTATCACTAACGTTTAGTTGTAAAACATTATCTAAATAGTTATGTTTAATAACTTCTATTCTAGAAAATTATAATCTTATCTTTCTGTAGATATTTTCACAAATCTTTATCTGGAGCTTGTTTCTTGATTGTTTATGCATAATGCTGACTAATACAAGTCTCTGAATAGATATGCTATCATCGATGTATGCAAGTAAAATTACAAGTTCTAAATAAGGCTGTTCTCACACATACTGAAACATTTATTAACAAGATAGGTAGAAGATTATGATCTTAGATTCAAAAAGTTTTTATATCGTAAAATACGTAAAAACAATCAGCAAAATGACAGAAGATATTGACTTGCTTTCACAGGAGGTTACTACAAGGATCATAAATCTTTTAAATGTATGTGTTTCTTAGAATTTACCAAAGTTTCAAATTCTCCCTGATAATATGGCACAGTGGTAGACTATATTCGAGAAGGTAAAAAGTTCTGTTGCCCCAAATTCCATCATGCTGAAGATAATCAATTCATTTATGAATTCCAATATGTTTCATATAGTTTTCTAAAATGGAGAAGCGTTCTGTGATCACATTTGATCAAATCACTTCGGGGAATGTCGCTTATGGTTCGTTCACAGTGATGTATTCTATTTGATTTTTACACTTGAATATACTGCAAATATTATTACATTGGGATGTAGATATACTGAAAAAAACTGCATCATGTTTTTCAAATGAAGATTTACACAGATGATGGAGAAGACGAGGAATATTAATCAGAAGAAAATTGCTTTGTTTGAACAATTAAAGGTTCTTTACAGGACCATCACATCCTGAGAAAGAAAACTATGGTTGTACGTAACATCTCTACTGATGAAAAGTTTTTACTTCTAATATTTACATTGAATATCAGCATTAATCTAGTTTATTGTCTGATCTTTCTTGCAAGTTTACTATGAAAGATTAGCTATAAATCTGAACAGTTCTAAAATATTTGATCTCTGTATATCATTTCATTAGATTTATCACGTAAGATTTCACTTTGTAGGCTCAGAAAAACTAGCTTATCGACTATTTTGCATTTCAAAACAGATATTTTCCTCAAATAGATATTACGATTTTGAAACAATGTTATGTAACGTGTGATGCAATATCTTGCAATTCACTTATACTTTGTCCAAAAATTATGGATACTTATGCAATGATGGAAAATACTGTTGAAAATTAGTGTTAAATCTCAATTTTATCTACAGAGAGAAGTTAAACTTCTCTTCAATGAAGAGTTTGATATTAAATATTTTAATCCTTTTCAGCAGAGCATCACAATATCTAACACCAGGAAAATGTGTTGGGATTTGAAAGCACAATCTATTTATAACAAATCCGAACCCAAAACTTACCGTGGCTCATTTTTCCTCATGATGCTACCCTTCCATATGGTTATTAATTGATTTTATTTCTATTTATGTTTTTTTTCATTTTACATTGTGAGAGGATGATTCCATGTAAATATTATATATATATATTTCATTTTGTAAATATTTTGATTTGAGTCTAAGTTGGATTACCAATTACAACATCCTTTTACTTGTTTAGTGTCAGGTCCAGAAGAAAGTGGTAAATCTCAATTTTTAGAAATGTTTTATTAAATTATCTTAATATTATTAACCCTATTCCTGAAAATACTGTGTGGTCTTGTGGTGAATACCAATCATTGTACACTAAGTTAATGCAAAATAATCCTAAGATTTATTTTGTTGAAGGCTTACCAGAAAATTTTCGTGAATATTTACAACCTGATAAACTAAATCTTTTTTTACCATTGATGATCTTATGAGTGAAAGTGGTGAAAATAAGTTAGTGTCTCGACATTTTACTCATCAGAGCCACCATTTGAATTTATCAGTATTTTATATTCTTCAAATCTATCCAATCAGTGTAGAGAAATGCATAACATTAGTTGAGGTCCTCAATCAATTATTTTGTTCAAGAATGTCAGGGATAAATAATCTCAGTTGAGTTTTTTAGCGAGATAAATGTTTCCGACACGTATCAAATACTTTGAAGAAGCCTATCGAGATGCAAGATGCAACCATATGGTTACTTAATCATCAATTTAAACAACAAACTTCAGACCGATTACATTTAAGGAAGTTACTCAATGGGTTGGCTATCTATGCTCTGCCTACCTCGGGTGTCGAAACTCGAGGGTTGGTGTTATAAGCTCCCAGACTTACCGCTGAGCCACTGCTGGAAGGGGCACTTACATCTTGTATTGCGGCATTTAATCTACACATTCTACCAATAAGTAAATAGGCACACGGGACAATACAAATCGATCATCTATATGACGTTATATGCAAATAACTCGGACGTATAGCTCAGTTTAAGACCACAGAATAGAAACAGCCATGCCATAAAAGGAATAAGGCTGTAAATTAAACGTAGTTTTACGAGGTCGAATAGTGAATGATCGGAGGGTGGTCAAAAGCAACGAGAAATCTCCATGTAATTTGCAATTCCACTGTCCACAGTGAACAGGGTGACAATGCAATTCCAGTTACGTCAGAAAACAACAGTTTATGTACAGTCCAGGAACACAAAATTTACAGAACAGACTCTTTATACTATTGCAGGACAAGTCCAAATGTCCAAATACCATCAGAAATTATATTTATAGCATGAGCTATAAAGATATAGCATAGTAGCTAAATAGAAGCAACTTCTCGCTCCGGGCAATATCGTAGGTCGACAGCAGCAGGAATCACAGATACTATCGCAACCTCCTGCCTTTTGGGGCACTATTTGTTTTTCCGACAAGTCCACATTTCCAAAATTCTCGAAGAGTGGATACTTCTAGATTTGTCGACTATCCTTCCAAGAATGTTTCATTCAACAGACTTCGAGCCACAACAAAATACAGCGGTATTTCTGTTATAGTGTAGGTGTTACCTTTTGGGCAGCTAGCGATTACAGCTGGTGGTATTTAAGGGGCGGTTAATGCTTCTCCATACATTGAACAAGGTCTTCTTCCTGTCTACGCCAGTGATAACTACCCAGACAAGGCAATGATGTCCTGCAAATTCAGTCCAAGTCACAAAAGGATGGCTTGAAGGTGTTTTACCCGTGGCCAAGCCAATCGCCGAATATGAACTATATTGAGCATTTGTGGTCCATCTTGGATAGTTCCCTGCAAAAAGCACTTCAAGGGACACACTATTCTATGTTCTATTCGATATGTTATTCCAAATGCTCTCCCTTTTTCAAAATAATATTTTAACATTTTTATATTGTAAAGATCCTAATAAAACAAATAAAGGTAGCATTCTGATCCTATACATTATCCGATATGGTATACTATACACAACCATCACCAGTGATGGAAATGGGGGTACACGCCGTGTACATAGTTCTCAGTTTGCATTCTTTCCACATTGGTTAAGTTTAATACTACTGAAGATGTTTATTAACCCCATCGTCTCAGGTAAAAGGCCATGCCATCGCGTTTGTTGACTTATATTCAAAATTTTATTGAACTACTATTTTATGAATTTATGTCAATAAGTTTGGTATCAAATTGTAATTTAAATTTTAGTACTATACATTAGTTAATTTTTAATTTAAAAGTAATTATGAAAAAAAAATCCTAAATATAAATTTTTGTGTGTCACGTGGTATGTTGAATGCAGCATTGGTTCAAATTAGATGTTTGGGATGTCCAAATAAAAAGTCTATAGTTTCTTATGAATTAGGAACTCAAATTACCGAAATTAACAAGCTAGAATATAAAATCAGAACCTCCTATCTTTTCTATTTGCTTTTTTTATACCTATCAACTGCTCCTAAGCGTGTACCTAGTTCCTAAAACCCATTTCCTTTCCTGACCATCACGTTAACAATGAGAAAAAGGAGGTCCAGGAATGAAAATTTCCTATACAAGGACGTTCAGGAATCGATTCACCCTGTTATAAGAAAGTAAGAAGTGTATATCCCATATCTATAAGATAAAAAGTGGAGTTTCTTAAACTTATTTATACCGTTAAGTTCGAACAAGCATTATCAACATTCCTGCAAATATACTAAAGTGTGTAATACAAGAAACTTGGTACTCACATAAGTTGTACGTGGTACAGAGAAAGGGTGTACAAAGTGTAATTCAACTTATTTTTTTATTGTCACATATTTTTAAAGTGTACAAGTTCGAACGTGTATGAACAAAATAGTTCTACGAGATAGAGTAGAAGGTAGAAAATGCTAAAGTTGTGTGGAAAGTATCTTTAAGTTCGTAAATTATTAATTGCTTAACCTCCTGTTATGTTTACAACCAATTACACCTTGATAAATGCAAAGATGAATAAAATGTAACTCAAAGAATAACCTCTTGATACATGAATGACAGAGATTTGGACCAAAGCACTCGTATTATCCTTCGTTAACAGATGGTCAACCATCATTGTTACTGACCCTCATTTCTTTCAAAATAGATTTAAAAATTGTACAAATATTATACACGATGGATTCGCCTGTTTAACATGAATCCACAGTATATGAATGACGAAATTCATTTTAGTGCCGTATACACAGGGATTATCTTGAAGTTCACACTGTGAAAGTAAATAAAATATGAAGACTTCATAATACCCACACGCATCATGGTTTTAAGACAGTTTAATATGTGCCTTAAGTATATAGCCAAGAATTAAAAAATATTTCAACTCTTTGCTGGATAAGAAAAACGGAAGATTCTTTAGCTTGGACATTTCAACCTGAAGCTTTAACCAAGCATTTGGGAATTCAATGCAAAATGGAAAAATCCTAAAGTAAATGTTAAACGTTATTATCTATATCCGTTACAAAAAAACTATTGCTGTGCTCACCGCGTGTATATCACCCTGATTTTTAGTATTACAAACCCAAACGTTTACCGCTGAGCCATCGGAAGGCAAAACCTTTGGAAAACAACTTGTCACACTTATCACACAGCAAATGTACAAACAATTGGGCAAGTTAATTCATTTCTTTAAACCTATTAAACGTGCGTTTCACAAAGAAAATTGTGGTCCATAAATAGGGAAATTACAGGGTCTGTTTGTTATAAGCTTTAGTATCAACTGCGTCAAGACAAATGTTTGTCAACAAAAATACTTCTAGTAATATCAAAGCTTTGTTTATTTTAGTATTTTTGCACAAAGCTATACAAACAAACCAGCATCCAAACCCACTTTTTTTAAAACTGAACCTGGACTTCGCATTTATACAATGTTTTTAATGGTTTTAGGATAGTTCGAGGGTGGTGGTTAGGAATTCGGCGAATACCCTTTTGTCAGACTTGAATATTTTCGTTTATTCAAGATGGCGACTAAGATGGCTATCAAATCAAAGAGGAGCCCATATCTCAGCTCCTATATGACATAGACCCACAATTATGGTATGTCTACACCTATAATTTCAAGGTCAAGGAGTTCAAATATGAACCATAAGACTCATCATTGTAGACAGTAGTGACAATACCAAGATGGCGGCTAACATAGCTGCCATAACAAAGAATCTCTAATACCTTAGTTTCTATACGACATAAAACCTTAAAATCAATATCTATTCGGTGTGAAATAGATTAAGTTAGTGAAAAGTAATTTTTTAACAACTTTATACTATCTGCTTAACTCTTCTTAATTTACCTACACATGTACATATTTGAAAAAAAAATAGTTTTTACTTTTTAAGTTTAGGACAAATGTAGAAATTGTAATTCTCCGATGTTTGGTTTTACAGAATTGTACTGTTTCAGCTATATATATATATATATTTGGAAATTACCTGCGTAATATATGATAAAAGTAAAGTATGTTAAAATATAACAAGCTATACTTTTATATATTTTTTTTTTGCTAAAAATAATGAAATCTTTACAAAAGTTAACCTTTTATTTCCCTAAAATCCTTATGCTACTCATTTATTTATTTATTTATTAATGTTAGACCTTTTCTCACTCTACAATGATAGTTTAATATCTCTAGGATTTCAACATGATTACCAGTATGTCAAATGTATTATTTACCCCTTCTGAAGTTATACAATTAAAGGATGACCAAAATATGTAAAATTATAGTGATGTCAAGGCAAAAAATCATTACAACATAGTGTCAAACATCCACCTCATTTAACTGTTATGCAAATTAGGCATCTGATGGTCAGTTCTAAATGATGCTATAGAGAGTAGAATAATTCACGTATAAGAGAAACGTTGTTGATTTAGCAGATTTAAACCAGAGCTGAACGAGATGGATTAAGCAACAAGATTTCTCCCACTCGCGATATAAGGATTATAAATTTAAATAAGAAGAAAAACAATTCATCTTACTTGGAAGTAGCCAACATCTGGGGCCAAATCCTGGTTGTTGGAAGAATGGTGTGGACCATCCACGGGCTGAACCACCAACATGAATCCTGTGAATTTCTGAATACTAAACGGCGTTCTGAAGCCCTGGAGGGTCACTAGAAGAGCGAAAAATAAAACAAATTTACATTTGTTGGCTGACTGGATTTGTGATAAATATAAAAAACGGCATGCACAGTTTATGCTAGTTATATATAGTGAGGGTTTATTTGAATAATTTTCGCATTTGTTTTTACATAATGCCACAAAGGAAACTGTATGCCTCACAAAAATCCTTCCACCACTGATATTTATATAATTTAGATTCAAGAAATCTGGATGTTGTAAGTACTTATCACTGGCCTGTGAAATTTACTTTATGTAAACCAGATCATGGAAAGCAACAAAGAAGAAAAACATCGTCTGGAAATGAAATTGTAAAGTTTTTTTCTTCATCGGGAAATATAGTCTCTATTATTGATATATTTGGGATTAATATGGACGCTGTATATTTTTAAAAAGAAGGGAGATCTGACATCTTCTGAATAACTTAGTTGCAGTGTTTAAGTTTTAATCTTTAAAAACATAAGACATGCTATAGTGACACACACAAAAAGTAAACATCTGAAATCTCTATCTCTCCTGCAATCAGCGTTTATGGATACCTTTAAACTAATCAGTTGATGATTTTTTTAAAGTCTACGATCACGTAGTTCGTACTATTTAATTAGGCTAGTGTATGCCAGGATACATGTCTAACAATTACTAATGATAGTGTCCTACTCGTTCGTGCATAACGTCGTTGCTGGCATGTAGGTGTAACTATAAAAACGCCAAAGAGCAACCTCATACTAACTAGTTTTGTGTGTCTTCAGCACGACTAGATCACTCGTAAGAATCATCATCCAATTAATTTTATGTAACATTACTTTAGAAAAATCATCCAGTTTGTTATTTGGTTCGATATCCATTTTTATAGACTTTCATTGCAAAATGTCTAGATTTCTACGTATCTTTAACACTCATGATTTGTTAAAAATCGGGTTCAGTAGATTGTAACTTATTAAGCAACAAAACTTCAGTTTCGTACTTTACTAGATCATACTAACTAGATAATTGAATTAGTTCGTTATACAGTGGAGTTTTAAATTACTTTAGATTATTTTTGTTATCCAGCGGAATTACTGTGTATATAGGCATTTTGATATCATTTTATTGTTCAACGAACGACGTCTTAGCTTGAAACCGTTTATATATGTTAGGTAGACAATGATATAAGAGTGGAAAGCATTGTTCTGAGTATAAAATGCTGCGATACATATATTTATTCGGTTTTAGTGCAGAGCTGCACAATAGCTTTTCTGCGCTCCGTCCAACACAGAGACTGAGCCTCGAATTTTAATCTTAGCAAAATAAGCCTAAAGTTTATCACTGAACCACTGGGGTGGGGGATGATTATGGCTAGACCATTTAAAATACGGTCTGACAATTTAGAAATGACAGGGGTAGATTTCGTGTTCGTTAGAAATTCCCTTTGTCCTCAAAGTTATATGTGTATTTCCACAACTACTCTTCAAATCATCAAACCTGATATTTAATGGCAAACTTTGTGAACGACAACATCTCTATACTTCGCTACGCATAACTGCTAGTTCGTATTTTTTTATAACAAAGATACAAATTTAAAAGAAAAAGAAGAAAGTGAACCATATGAGCCAATGAACTTGAAACAATGCTAGAATAAACACTGCAAAGCAGCTTAATTTGCTAGCTGTCACGGCTGTGTCAGATTGAGGACCCAGGAACGCTGTTGTCTACTGATGTTTTAACGACCATTGTTAGTCCAGCACGTGGAATTCTTTTAAGTTGTAACACTCGGCTTAGTGAGTGATTGACAAGTATTTCATGCGCGAAGACAGATATGTCAAGTAGTCTCTAACTGTAACACTTCGTAGTTCGTTTTCTAGCTTGTAACATGAATAAAACATTCTATGGGCTTTCTCTTATTCAGAAGATAAACTCAGCAAACTACAAGCTCATGTTGTGTTTTCATTTCAGCATAAGCCTATTATATTCTAACCAGGGAGAGATGGGAGTAGGGGATCTGGTAAATATCAGACTGAGGTCTACACTCCAGTTTCAAACACTTGTTCGAACTGTTCTTCCTATGTGTAGGCAAACCGAAAGAGTGACGTTTCAAGTGTTTTCATTCGTTTTAATTAAAGTTATGACGTCGCCCTGGAAGTTGATCTGAAATACTTATGAAATCAGGTTGAAATAAGAATTAATAGATGTCACAATAGTAACAGTGATCTACCATCCTTCAAATAATCAGAAAGAAAGTGCAATGTATGAAACAAATAACAAGCACTGGCTAACAATACCTTAAAGTTAGATAAACGTAAGGCCTTTATCACCTAAAAACGCTAGAAGACTGATTGTCTTCAAGTCCACTTTTATTGTTTCGTTCTTGTTATATTCATTTTGTTTTTTCTTTAAATATTAATTTAAAGATTAATTCTGTGATACAGCATCGAATCAAAAATATGTAACCTTGAGCCAGTTTTTCAGAGTCGAAACATAAAACGTTATTAATGGATATAAACCGAAAAAAGGCGTATAAAAACGCACAGTTTATCATGGCGTAAGCCTCTTTGTTAATAGCCTTGTTTTTGTATCCTATAGCAGGCTAGCTATAAACTAAAAAGGCAGATCATTTTTTTAACATAGTGACTGGATGAAAGAAATGTCTACCAGTCAAGAAAATTTGTCGCCTAGTAAATGAATTTTTAAACTACAAAATCACGATTTTTTCTCTAACGGATAATGGGTTTCATACTTGTAAACAGTAAATGGATACCCTTTGTCGCCCAGTAGAATTTGCTTTAAAAATGCTCTGTGAAAAAGGTTTAGTGTACTTTACATAGTCTAAAGGTTTAGTACGAGTCAACATACATTACACACAAGCCAAGCTTTAGCGTAATGTTTAAAATGTATCATATTACAGGAAAAGTAAAAAACTCAAATTTAAACAACGTTCGGTCTGTATTTTAAGCTAATTTTATAAATGTAAAATGTCAGTTATTCTCCTTTCTTTCCAAAAAAAAGTTTGAATTTCTTTTCTTAAATCATTTCTCAGTATTTTGCTAGAGGTAACGATTCACCCACAATCAACCTGCTTAATTCTTCCTATTTAGAATTAGAAAGTTAACAGAAAAGTCCACTTTCGCTAGTTCTAGGGTATAGTTTGTCGAGTTGCCCACTCAGCTATCAATGCTATCTTAATGACATTTCAGCATCATTAAGAATAGAATTGGTTCAAAAAGCCACCTGTCTATCTTAATTAGAGCAAATATAATTGTATGAGCATCTCAGTCAGCATGAAAGTCAAAACTATTATTTTCTTGATAGCGGAGTTCATTAAGGAGGCCCAGCATGGCAGGTGCTTAGGGTGCTTGACTCACAATCTGAGGGTTACGGGTTCGAATCCCCGTTTCACCAAACATGCTCGCCCCTTTCAGCCATGGAGGAGTCATAATGTGACGGTCAATCCCACTATTCGTTGGTAAAATAGTAGCTCAAGAGTTTGCGGTGGGTGGTGATGACTAGTTCCCTTCCTTCTAGCCTTTCAATGCTAAATTAGGGACAGCTAGCGCAGATATCCCTAGTGCAGCCGTGCGCGAAATTCAAAACGAGCCAAAAAATCATTAAGGAGACAGTCTAAGTGCAGCAGTGTTCTAATCTTAAGATAATCAAATAACTCCTAGTATCGTATTCCCTTGTCATTAAACTTGCTTGATATAGTGCATGTAGTAATCTTGCCATAAAACACACAGACGCACTCACAAAACGATCACATTACTATTTTGCCATAACAATTTTAGGCATTTGTGCTAAAAAAAGTTGTAGGTAGTTGTGCAAGATTGGTGAAAATATTTTCTTTTTTAATTGGATGTTTCGAACAGGCTGTATAAAGATAAAACAGCAAAACACCCATTGAATATATCCACTAAAATCCCAAGTCAAGGACACACTCAGATATGTTAACGCCCCCTGTGTCTGCCTGCCAATCAAATCTAGAAAACATCTCTTCAAAGAACACACAAAAATTTGTTTAGATACTTTGAATTTTCTTTATATTTCCACAAGAAGAGAGAGAAACAAAGCTTCGGTTACACTTAAAATAATCTGTAAACTAATATATATTTACAATTTTAGATACCCGTGACAATGTTTAGGAACAACGTGTAAACCAATATATATTTACAATTTTAAATACCTGTGGCAATGTTTAGGAACAACGTGTAAACCAATATATATATATTTACAATTGTAAATACCCGTGGCAATGTTTAGGAACAACGTTACAAAATAACTTCTTTTCACTACTTCCTGATTTTTCACAAAACATCTGCTTTCTGTCTACCTCAATCCTTGGGAAACTTAGTGTCACCGATCGTGACACTGGACTACAGAATTAACAGTGACGTTGATGGACATTAGACTAAGTAGTACGTTTCCAAAACGAATTGCCGACTTTTGAACTAGGAGTTTCACCCCCTTTGCCATAAGATACGCCAGTCACCCCTGATTAATTATATACTAGGGAAAAAAAGACGCATCACGGCGTTGTTGAATGATTATTGAAAGATTCCTATTTGCAAGAGACAAACACTAATTATAAACCACATAAAAAGGCCAATGAACCATAAAGAAACTGGTTTCGTTTTCCGTAATCATTAGTCCATTTGAGGTGGTTAGGCTTAGCAAATGATTTTTTTTTACAAAAAATACAAACGCACTTCCCACAGTTCTGATAGGTTTGAATTTCTTTTATTGTTTTTTTTTCTCCATAAAAAAATATTTAAGAGATTCAAAATATTAAAATATTACCTATTATGTGGAAAGATCATAATAACAAAATAATTTATGGAACATTACATAATACAGTCTCTCTCACGTTCTCCATTCACTTCGTGTTCTAATTTTTGAACAATTGAAACCTTACCATATATCAATGCTCTATTACCTAACAGCTTACGTCTCTCTCCAGTCTGATTATCCTAACAAACCATATTATGATATATTCTTTACCGCTTATTAAACTTTATGACAGTTG